GCTTCTCTGATAATTTAGTTCTGTATTCTAGGAGCGTTCGTTTGAGCTGATTAATGTAAAAATTTGACTTCTTTTTCTAAACAGCAAGGACCTCAGCAGCAAGGTTGAAGAAGGTGACGTGAGCAGGTTTTGTACAGCCTCTGTGTTCATGTTAACGGTGAATTTAATCATAAGCAAATGCTACGTTTGGGATGGAAAGAATAGTCACAAGTGGCACCAACTACCCATTGCACCGGTATTTATACAACCAGTCGATCTGAGGGGAGTAATTCCACTCCCCCAGAGGTTGTTTGCACACAGACACATACACTTGCACTTCTAAAATGGTTAAAAGAAAAAGAACAGAGATGAGAAATGAGTAAAATGAGAACGAGCAGCGTTCACAGTTTGTAGTACGGGACTATTTTGAGAGCAACACCTGACCTCAAACTCCAACTCAGCTGCCCAGAATGCAAATTATGGAGTCGCAGAATGGTTTGGGTGGGAAGGGACCTTAAAGATCATCCAGTTCCAACCCCCCTGCCCTGGGCAGGGACACCTCCCACCAGACCAGGTTGCTCCAAGCCCCCTCCAACCTGCCCTTGAACCCCTCCAGGGATGGGGCAGCCACAGCTTCTCTGGGCAACCTGGGCCAGGCTCTCACCACCCTCACAGCAAGGATTTCTTCACAGTATCTCATCTAAACCTCCCTTCTTTCAGTGTCAAACTGTTCCCCCTCCTTGATGCTTTGACTTGACTCATACCTGTTGGTTTTAAGCCCAAAGAGTTGGTGCTGGGGCCCTGCCAGCAGCAGGAGCAAGCCCTGAGGGTGCTCCCCCAGGGCCCAGATAACCCCAACACCTCTGTCATCGTGTGGACGAGATCTTGAGGGAAACCTGCCCCCTCCCCTCTTGTCAGAGTAAGTAATTAACATCATAACGTGCTTATTACCCGGCTATTGTTGCGCCGTGTTGCTTAATGTGCTTTGGCACGAGCTGTGGCGGGGCCCTGCCTGTGTGGCGGCTCCCTTTGAGGCAGGTGTTGGGGGTGACGCCTCGGGTGGAGCAGGGCCCCGCCTGCACCTACCCATCCCCTCCGGCCCTGTTTGCCCCGGTGGCTGTCCGGCGGCACGGGCCAGTGGCCGGGGGCTGTGGCGAGCGAGGCCTACGGGCCGCTCTGCCACCGCCGCCTCCGCCCGCCCTTAACAAAGATGGCGCCGCCCGACCCTTCTCTCTCTCTCCTCCTCCTTCCC